ATCTTGTACAGAAAAAAATTACAAAAAACATGCACAATTTTTGTTTGTCAATTATACGTTGTTAGGGCTGGGAAAAAAATCAACTTTAGGTGACTGAATTGAAGAAGAAAAGCTCTTGGTAAGAGATATCAGTGAATTCCTGTTTGATCTCGAGGTTGGGAAGGTTTCTCAAGACACAAAAACAGTAATGACGAAAGAAGCTTTGATAAAGTTGGCGATGTGGGGACCGAGAAACTCCTTCATCAGAGGATGGGTTCAGACAGCTTTTATCGAAGTGTGGTTCAGAGGCTGAAACTGATTTCGTCATAACGCTGAGATGTTATTTGCCTTTTCTCTCTCGTCATCTCGTGGGTGGACAGTGGCGTTTCAGTGGCCGTGGCGTGGGATCTCACAGCACGGAGGATGCAGAAGCTGCCCTGCAAATCCAGCAGCTTTCCAGTACACAGATGTCACAGAGATTCGCAAACACATAAAACAATGCCCCTCTTCTCACTAATTTTTTTGGGAAAAATATTGTTATGTGAATATGGAACGGGTTTATTATTGTTATTTTTAAATGAATTAACAGACAAATATTTCTTAAATTTCTGTTTCAATTTATAATACAGTAAATACCAATAGATATAACGCACATAAATGAAAACTCTTGGGGGTACCCAATAATTTTTAGGAGTGTAAAGGGGTCCTGAGAACAAAAAGTTTCAGAACTGCCTTAAAGAAAGTCCAGACAAACGACACGTGGAGGCGGGAGCTCCTGCAGCGGCAGGGGACGCGCGGCTGCCTGGAGAGCAGCTTCACCAGAGAGGGCTTCCCGGCCCACACCCTGCAGACGCGCCCTGCTGGCAGGACGCCCACCCCACCGGGTGCTGAGTCTCAGGAGGGCAAGGAGGGTGGGTAAGGGGGTCTCGCACTGCTGGCTGGCGGGAGCGCCTCTGGGGAGTTTCAGGGACCTTGAACATCCACCTGCCCTGCTAGCTAGCAGTTTCCTCCCTGGATACACACCCAGGGGAAAGCGGCTGGACACATTCCCGGTGCACACACTCCGAAACGCCTGGGTCAGCTCAGAACCCTGCGACACCCGCGTGGCCTGGCTGTGGTGTCTGCCCAATGGAAAGTCACGCAGCAGTCCCCGAGGGTGAGCCACGCAACACGCACTGCTCTGCAGACGGATTTCAACGAGAAGTATACGAAAGGAAGTTCCAGAAGAATACTCTGATTTTCTCGAGAACGTCCAAGACAGTGGACATGCAAGAGTGTTACTTTCAGGAACATGTGATGGTGAGGCTACAATGGACGGGTCGCGGGAGTCAAGCTGGTGCCGCTCACCCTGGAGGAGGGGCCGGGCAGGGAGGGCGCGGGTACAGAGGTGGGTTATTTTCAGGGTCACGGCTTTTTTGTTGGTGCTGGTTACATGATCAGAAACGGAATTTAAAAGTAAAAAGTCCCCGTGTGGGCCGGGAGCAAGAACTGTCACAAACCAAGGATTCTGAGTACCCAGATTCTGGACCCCTGAGGTCCAGCAAAACACAGAACACCCGACACAGGAGTGGACTCAGCAGCCCTGCAGTCTGGAGGTCCGCGGAGCTAGGATATGAGTGGGGGACCCCACCCCTCAGACTCCCAGGGCCGGGGCTCCTGACTGGCACAGGGGCCAGTCCCAAAACTCTTATTTTGGGGTCAAATTTTAAGCTAATGATACTAAGCCAATGGACTTTTATAGAGAAGATTTTCAAGTTTGTAATCACTCACTTATTTGTTAACAATTGATATATTTTTCTCTAGCCATCCCAGGGGACTGTTGGCTCCAGGGCAGGAGGAACCACCCATGGTGCCGGTGGATGGACAGACAGTGCCCGAGGGTCAGGCGGGCCTCTACCACCTCTCTGTCTCCTTCCCCACTCCTGCGCAGGGGCCCTGTGGCCAAGCACCCAGGGGCTCACAGAGGGTCCACTCCAGAGCCTGTGGAGACTTGCCTGTGCGCGACCCCAAGCAGGCAGGGGGACTGCCGCTCTGCTCCCAGCCACCACCCAGCAGCCTCGTGCCACCTCAGAGCACTGGGACTACCTGTCTGCTAACTCCTGCCAGCTGTCACTGGAAATTTTAGGCACTCCTAGTATGTCAAATGTAGTAAACTTGCATTCCAGAAAACATACCATAAAATTACAATAATGACAGGCACGTCCAAAGCATTGGCCTCAAATACCAAGCTGTCTCTTGAGCTGTCCCCACAGAGGACCTGGTGGTGGACACAGGTGGGTGAGCCCCAAAAGCAGCCCCCACCGGGTTGGCCCAGCACACTGGGCAGGGCACCTGCCACTGGCCCAGAGGCCGACTGCATGTTAACTGTGGAAGTAAAGGGGACCGCGAGGGCGAGGAGGCAGGGCTGGGCGAGCTGCCCACCTGCCAGCACTTACCTTAAAGGTGTTCCCTGTCACATCGAACTCCGGGGGGACGAAGGCACCCTCAGGGTCATCTTGGGGAGGAAAAGAGAAGGCCTCTGATCACACACCGTGAAGCCCATGGTGAAGAAAACCCGCCGGCCACAATATGGCCCCTGGAGCCTCCAGGAAGGCCAGGAAGAAGCAGCCCCAGGACCCCCAGAACCAAGTCCCCTCCCCCAGCCCCTCCCCTCAGACCTGGTGCCCCTGAGGACGATTTAAAGCATTTGAGGAGGCCGGGGTGAAAAAGGGAAGGGGGCTTCTTAACCATAAATGTGGGAGACTGGCTCGAAAGTGAAACGAGGAAGGGATTTTTTCTGGTTTCCCAAAGAAGGAACTGAAGTTTCCCACTGGGAAAACTGGCCCTGTCAGTCCAGGCTCTCCCTGGAGGGGGAGGTGCCGTGGGCACAGACGGTCGACCTGAGGCAGGTGAGTCTCACTTTCAAGGTCCCCTGTGTCCACTCACCACAGGGCCATGGGACCAGCCTCTCCTTGGGTCAGGGCTGGCCGAGTCTGCACTGCTGCTTTGAGGGTGTGTGTGACAGCCCCAGGACAGCAAAGGTCCAGCAGCAGCCCCTGGCCCACGCTCCAGCCTGACCCCCTCCCGCAGTGGAACCTCATCAGCAGGATCTCATCAGGTTCCAAAGGAAACTGGGGCCCCGAGGGTGCCCCTGTGTCCACCGGCTGCATCAGTGCCCGCATTCACCCCAAAAGGGTGCCTTCCATCTGCCCATCCTCCCGCCGGGCTCACCACTGAGCTGCTCCATGAAGCACACGTTGCCGCTGGTGTTAAAGGCCAGGGTGTCGGGCGTGATGCACAGTGTCTGGAAGATGGCTGCATGCGCGACGCTCCGCAAGGACAGGCAGCACTCCAAGCAGACCGCCCAAGCCTCCTGCTCGCTGAGGCCGCTGTCCCGCAGAGAGAGGATGTCGGCCAGGGACACGTTCTCCTGCCAAGACAGGCCTCAGCATGAGCCTGCAGGGCTACGGGGGTCTGGAGTGGGGACCTCTCCCTGTCAAGGTCCCGGCACCCAATGCTGAGACTATTCTCTGGGGAAACAGGCAACTCCTAGCAGTGTTGCATTTATGGCTCAGGAAGAGGGTTTCAGGCAAGGTCTTTTTTAAAACAGTTATCCTGCTGCTCCCTGGATGTCAGTGCCTAGGAGCATGTGGCGACGCCATTGGTGAGCTGCCGGAGCAGGTGTCTGTTCATGGGGCCTGGGAACGGGCCTTCCTCCCAGAAGCCTGGCCGCAGCCCAAGAACTTGTGCCAGCCATTCACGTGATCGCTGGGCACCCCTGATCCTGCAGGTGCACAGCGCAGCAGGCACGCAGAGGCGCGAGCAGGTGAGGGGGAGGTAGGGACCTGAGGAGACAAAGTCGATGCCTGCAGAATGTGCACTTGTTTGTAGAAAGCCAACAATAGGGCTAACGGCACAACCACATGACATACAATCACACACATATGACGACATGCTTACAGAGCAGCCCAGACATTAGCTCCAGGCAGTGCACACGGAGAATGAGGTCACGGTGGTTCCTTCTGCATGGCCAGACTGTCCATACCTCCCCGCTACGGGTCACCTCCAGAAGCCAAGTGGGCTCCCTGACTGTGCAAGAGCTCAGCTGTGATAGTGATGGTCCCTACCAACACTGATGCACTCACACATACACATGCGTGATCGTGATGGTCCCCACCAACACTGACACATACATGCACAAATGCATCTGCCTAACGAGCACATTCACTCACATGTGCACACATGTACCCACCTAACAAGCACGTTCACTCACATGCACATATGCACACAGGACAGACACATCCCCTACTCATGCATGCACACACAAACATACACACTCTCACACCTGCACACACTTACATACTATGACACAGACACACAGGCATGTGCATGCTCACAGTGCACTCACACATCTCATGCACACACACTCATGCTACTGAGAGCAAACTTCCTCACGTACACAAGCACACGCTGTACACATTTCCGCACACACCTATACTTTTACTTATACACACGTACAATTACACACACTCATACATGTCCACATCCTCACTTATACACTCTCAAATACATTCACACACACCACACACAACAACACTCACACACTCAGACACATGCACATGCCCCCCACATGTATGTACACACCTACACTGTCACATACACTAGCACACAAAGGCACACAATCCACACAAGCGCACAGCACAAACACTGTGGCCCTCTCCTGGTCTGCTCCGTATGTGTGTGTGTGCGTGTGTGCACACACGTGCGTGTGAATGTACATGCTTACACGGTCCCCCTGCAGGAGGGGCTGGGCTGGGGGCTGGGCCTAAAGAAGCGTGTGGGCAGGGTCAGGAAAGGATTGCTCGCCAGTTGGGGAAGTGGCCTCTCCAGCTCCTCCTACAGTCTCGGCTGCTGTCCCCTGGACACAGGGGCTGCTCCTGCTGAAGCCCCACTGCCAGGCCCTAAGAAGTGTCTCCTGCCTCCTGTCCCTGAGTTTCCCTACTCGCAGCTGGCAGCACACGAGACCCCACAGCCACAGAAAGGGGGAAAGGGCACCAGGGAGAAGGCTTCCCGGTGTGTGGCTTGGCCGAGCCTCTGTGGCTCAGCAAGGGATCCAGGGCTGAAGTCTGCCCCTGTGACCCTGGCACATCCCGCCTGGCCTTTCCTTCTCAGAGTCCAGGTAGGGGCTTGACCCCCTCGGTTCCCCAGGCCCTTCCAGCTCTTTCTATGGCGGGAGTCTCCCTGCGGTGTTCTTTAGGTTTCCTGACTGATAAAGTGTCTTTCTGATTGTGCTCAAACCACCACCCAGGACTCCTCAGGACGCAGGAGAAACTGAAGCTCCCAGTGACACCTGAGGGGTCTGGTTAAAGAGGCGCTTTACCATGCACGTGTGTACATGCACACACATACACCACACCTGCACATATGCATATGCGTAAACACATGTGCACACATGCATGTGCAAACACACAGTGCAGCACATGTGCACAGACACACACGCAAACACACACAAGCATGCACTAAATGAGGTAATAACTCCGAAGACCCCATGGGTTTGTGCTATTTAGGAGGAAGCCAGACCCAGTCCCAGCCCCCCCCGCCCCCCCAGGGCCTTGCTCTGGTTCACATCAAGCCAGCCCTGCAGTGACAAGATGTGCCGCCGAGAGAAGGGAGCCCAGGTCATACGTGCCTGCAAGGCCATCTCACAGCCACAGCACAACCTCAGGCTTAGGCTTTGTGGGAAGATGCCTGGTGAGTACAGAGTCCGCCACCCCAGGGAAGCTGGAGACCCGGACTTTGAATTTGGGTGGACTCCACAGGGGTCCTTAGTCATTGCTTCTGGCCCTGCCCGGGAGATGATCTCTTGACTTCTCGGAAACTGGCTGTGTTGAGGGCGGGACGCAGGGCTCCAGACCCAGCTGTCACATCCAGGGGCAGGGGCTTGCCAAGTCCTGATGGACCCCCCAGGCCTGAACGCCGGGTGTCATCTGCCCTCTGGGACCTGCAGCTGTGGCCCCTGATGCTTCCACCCTGCTCTGGTTCAGGCGTGAGGAATGGCCCTTCCTTTCCCAAATCCACACTAGGCTGGAGGGAGTGTAGGATGAGCCTTGAGCCTTGGCTAAGGGCCAGGGACAAGGATGCGAGAGGCCTGAGGGTCGCAGGCAGCACTTGGCAGCCACTCGGCTCGCTCAGTTCATGGGGCCCACCCAGTTCCAGTGGATGACCCATGGCGCACCTGCACTCGCCTCCAGAAGAGGCCACTCAGAGACCCCCTGGCTCTCAGCTTACACCAGGCGGGTCCAGTTCCACAGTGGTGGCCAGGAGGCTCCTGCCCAAGTAAAATACACTCAGCAGGGCTGCAGGATGCCGAGGCAGGCACGGCAATAGCTTAATGGGCCCTGGCAGATGTTTCAGAGGGAGACGGTGTGCGGTGAATGCAAAGCCGGCTGCACCTCCGGCAGCCACACGCCCAGCTCCCACGAGGCCCGCGGCAGGCTGGGACATCGCGGCCTGCCCGCTCCAGCCTCCTCCTGCTCCTGCCAGTGTGGTTTGACCTTGCCACTGCTAGCTGACCTTCGGTGGCTCCACCTGCCAGGTACAGACCCGCTCCTCACCGTGCAGCACAGCCCCTTACTTTTCCCCGGAGGGCGCTGCCTGGGTGGGTCGTGGACTAGATCTGAGGGTGGGACCACCTAAGGCAGTTCCTTGCAGGGCAGGAGGGAGTGATCCCCACTTGGCAACTGTGCGGACACAAACTAAGCCCCTCATCCCAGGTGAGAGGAGGCAGAGGGGAGGCAGGTGGATGTGACCCCCAGGGGTGGGCCGTGCTCCAGGTGGTGGCACACCAGCCAGTCCCTGGGTCCCAGAAGGCAGGGTGGGTGTCCCACCTCAGGACTCTTAGCGGGTTACAGCAAAATGTCCATTTAGGGGCTTCTCTGTGTTGAAGAAGCCTCCCCACTCAGAGTGGGGTTATCTGGGGACTCACAGATCATCCTGCACATTCCAAACACACTCTCCCATAACCATTAATTTTTGCATCCTTGGAATATTCCAATAGGACCTGTCAACACAAAACTCAAACTGCTGCTGAGAACATTTGCTGACAATCCCCAGGTTGCCAGACCCCTGGTCGCCTGCTCGTCCCAAAGTGCCCACCCTCTCCCTCACGGCTCTCACCCCAGCAAGGAGTTCTCTTGGTCTCCAGGGGCCTCCTGCTCTGAACTTGTCATGTGGGTCCCCACAGGATGCAGTGGGGGTATCCCCTTCTTCACAGGGTACCCCAGCTGTGTGCTCCCCTAGGCAGCGACTGGGCCTCATCCACCTTCAAATCCCCAAGCCCAGCCTAGTGCCAGGCCTGCAGAAGGTTCCGGGGAGATGCTCGCTGAATTTGGGGAGGATGAGAACACTATTTGCCCCTTGGGGATGTCTGGGGACTGCGAAAGCCTGAAGGCCAGAGCTGCCACCTGCCTCTCAATGGCACCACACATTCCTTGACTATAGCCGCCTGGCGTGTGTTTGCCTCTCCTGCAGCCGCTGTCCTGCCCAGATTGTGCTGTTCTGTCTGTCTCTGCTCTCACATCTCTTGGCCACAGTGGCTGAAATGCCACGTGAATCCAGGGAGGGACACCTCCTCCAGGAAGTCCGCCTTGCTTAGCACCTGGCAGAATGTCTCCCTGTGGGCCATGTACCCATGGTCCTTTGCCTGTACCACCCCAGCAGTACCACCTGCAGGTGGCCAGCATGGCTACAGCCTCCAAGACCCAGCCAGGTCACGCTGGCTCACACACCGTGTGCTGTAGATTGGATGCCCTGCCCCCAACCTCACTGAAGCTTAGTCCCCACTGTTAATTGTTGAGGGTGGGAGATCCTGTTATGATAATTGAGAGGTGGGGTCTTGAAGAGGTGATTAGATTGTAGGACCAGTGCTGTAGTGAATGGGTTAAAAATGGTGGTCAGGGGCCTGGTTCTGAGGGCTTTAAAAGGCAAGAGAGGAGAGTGGCTCTGCTTTTTTTCTCTCTCAGCTTCCACCATCTTGCAATGTGAGACCCCTGGGTCACTATCGCCACCACCAGATGGACTTTGGACTTCCCAGCCTCAAAAACTGTAAGCGATAAATTTCATTTCTTTATAAAATCCCTACTTCTGTATATTTTGTTATAAGCAATAGAAACGGACTGATACAGCATGCTCTGGGAAGATCCTCATGAACACATCGCTGCCCCCCAGGCCATGGGTCTCCGGGGTCCGCCCCCAGAGTGAAGTTGCTGGAACACAGGTGCTGGTAGCTTTCACATCACTTGCGAATGCTGAGCTGTTTTCCAAAGAGGCCGTTCCAGTCCACACCCCACCAGCAGAGAGAGTGCTGCCCAGCACCGGCCCTGCCAACACACGCCACTGTCCAGCCTTTTAGTTCTCACCAACCTGGTGGTCATGGAAAGGGATTCATGGTGGGTATATTTTGCATTCCTCTGATTATACAGAACAAACATCTTTTCGTAGTTCACCAGCCATTTTGATTTTCTCTGGGGTCACGACAGGGAAAGGACATTACAGGCTCGGGGTGAGGGATACAGTGGATCCCTCCCCACCCGAACTTTTCCCTGGACTGTGCTGAACAGTGGCACCCTGGTTCACAGGAGGCCTCAGTCAGGTCATGGGAGGGAGACCCCCCAAAATGCACTGTGCACGGTGCGAGTTGCTCCAACCAAGGGGGACGCTGGGGAACATTTCCACCCACAGAAGCCACCAGGGCATGGCAGAGGACAGACCACACTCTGGGTCTGAGGGTTTGGTTTCAAAGTGTGGCACTGTGTGTTCTGTTTATGAGGCACCCTGGTGTGCCGGGCACAGAGGAGCCCCTACAGCTCCGGTGGTGGACACAGAAGGGCTCTGTGTGAAGAGCCGTGTTCTTGGGTCTGCCTGGAGAGTGACCAGGAGGTGCATCTTCTAACAGACACAGTGAAATGTGTCCTCCAGGGGAACTTCTGAAAGCTGTAGGCTAAGCTCACCCTTTCTTTTCCATCAAAGCCATGGAGATATCCAAAGATTTATTTATTTCCTGGCCTCTCCTCTGTGCAGCCTTCAATTGCATCAACTCCAAATCCAGGCCACCGCGGGGGTGGGGGCAGGGCCACCCCCAGCTCTGCCTCCACGGCCTCTGGTGGCGGGAAGCAGGCTTCCTGAGACAGACGCCAGCACCTTCCTGCGTGGACTCCCCTTCCCTTTCATGCCCATAGCCCTGAGAAAGTGGGTAGGGGGCTGGCCGAGGGGCAAGGTCCTAGGGAGCAGCCCCGGTCCTTTACTCCAGGAGGGCCTGGCCGGCTCTGACCCACGGGTGGGCCAGGTTGCCCAGAAGGGCTCATGGAGAGTCTTGGGCACCATGGCCGTTTCACAAGAAGGCACCGTGGCATCTGCTCCAGGGCTGCGGGGTGCCGGCATTCCTCACCCGTAACACAGAACGAGACCGGACCCTTGGGAGATGGGAGGCCCCCGGGAGCTGCCGATCCTCTGGGGGCCCATCTCTCTCGCCAGGGGGCCGGATTTGTTCTTGGGCCGTGGAGTTTATTCATTTGACCCCGGCCCCCAGCCTGCGGGGCTTCAGAGGAAGCTCAGGCCAAGTGGGGACCCACTTCTGTGCCAGAGTCTGGGCTCTGTTTCTGTGGGCAGCGGCCAGTTCATGTCCAGAAGCCTCGGGAGGTGCAGACGCAGCCAGGGCCCCTCTGCGCCTTGCGGGGGAGGGGCTGCCTCGGGACTCCGCTCCCAGGTGAAGGCCTGAATCCCCGACAGCAGGGAGCAGCCCCAGCCCTGGGGGTCTCATCCACGCACCCCGCCCCTGGCTCCTGAACCAGGCGCCTCCGCTGGCCTCGAGGGGCCTGGCCAGAGGTCAGCAGTGCCCCCAGCGGCCCTCACGCTGCGGGCCCCACTCGTCCACCCGACATTCCTAACCTGGAGCCCACCCCGCGCAGGGGCCAACTTCTGCAGTGACAGCCACCCGCTGCTGTCCCATGCGTCATTCCAGGGGTCTTGCCCCCACTCGCGGAAACGTTAAAGACCCAGAGGCGGGCGGGGGCTGAGAACAGCTGCGGGATCCCCCTGCCGCCACGACCTGCCCCAGCGCAGGGGTCTGGGGGGCGGGAGGCCTCCTCCGGGGACCCTCGGTTCACAGGGGACCCTCCGCCGACCCGGGGCTCACCTCATCCTCCGGCAGAGTGGGCAGCGGCTCGAAGTCGTAGAAGTCCAGGTCCTTGTCCTCGTCGTAGAGCTCGGCCGCGGCCGGGTCCATGG